AGGTGCAACCCACCCAATCCTGCATCAGATCTGACCAGAGCAGGGTGGGGTTGGAAGGTAAACTCTGGAATAGACCTAGGTGTGGCTCAGTCAAAACCATGTGCCTCAGTTGTCAACTTATTTACATCTCCTGCTGAATACTTCATGAACTAGACTAGAATCTAAAATATTTCCGGTCCCATAAACACCCATTGTCTTTCCCCACCATTTAGAACTAATTTAGGCAACATCAGCCACAAGGCACATAAGCTTTACAGGACTGTAAAAATATTCTGGTTTCAAAGTGTTCTTATTTTACAGAGAGCCTGAAACAACGTGGGTTTGGATGGATGTGTGGACATGCAAACAATTCCTTATCCTGAATGCAATTCTTTATTCCTTTTTTAAAAAGACAGACCTTAAGGGTTTGGAACCTGAGTTTACGGTCAGGGGAGAAAATCGATTCAGGAGAAATGGCATGTAGCACGGTCACACACAAAAGATTGCTTGTGTTCTTTGATGTGTAGGCCTCTCTGATAATTTCTCTGAGGTTTACTAGATTTAGAGACCCTCTGAAAGTTGAAGACCCGTTGCTTTGATAACTTACAAATGTCAACGTTTCAAAGGAAACGCCGCTTAACAGTCAGCAAATTAGAATTTTGACAAGCCATCAAATAAAGGAAGCTCGTCTGGTGTGGCTGAAGGCCGTGTGACCACTAGGGGTCAGGTGATGTCCTGATAAAGGAGGCACCATCAGGGGAGAAAGAAGCAGGAGAGACGCCTTTGGCCAGCTTGCATTTTCAGAGAGGGGTACACCATTCCTGGATGCAACTGAAATGTAGGCATTCCAAGCCTCAGCAGTAAGACCTTGTGTTGCTTTGTTTTTCTGTCTTGAAAGCCAATTCTCTGAAGAGAATTTTACCTACAGTTCTCTTCTCTGTAGATTTTCAAACTTCATTATATTTCTCCCTTACTAGCCATATCTGGTCATTCTTAATGGACTTAGGGTGTGGCAAATCTCAAGGTTCTATTTCCCACAGCATTTTTATTAAGGTGCGTTCTGGATAAAATGAAAGAAAGGGTCAAAGAAGGGAGGGCTGGGTGGCGGGGGCAGGGAAGAGGGGTAGGATTACACTGATCCCTGCAGCCTCAGTGAGCCTGAGGAATGAGTGGGTGGGTGGTGAGGGTGATGCTTTCCTCCTCCCCAGATCAAAGAGCTCTAGGCACCTTTTGAGCCCCAAGGGCCAATCCACTTCTCTTCCTACTTGGGGACAATCAAGGTTTCCGTCCTGGGATGTTGCCTCTCCAGATTCTCATGCCTAGACACGTGTTGCTACTCAGTGTCTCTTTTCTAGTGAGCCCCGATCAGCCCCAGAATGGTTCTCAGTCTCGTGCTGCAGGCAGTCACTGTAAACTTTGCCTCTGTTCCAGGTTTGGCAATGCCAACAAGTTTATGTTGAACTTGACATTCATCTCTCCTGGCTGTGTGGTGGTGGTGGTCATCACTTACAATTTTGATGGCTCTGGAAGTTTGAGAGTTTCCCTTCAAGTTGTTATTGCCCAATGGCCAAACCACGGATCGGTTTCAGGCACAGATTGTATTTTGGCTCAGATGATGTTCCAGGTCATTTGGCTAGACACTTCAACCAACATCTCCATTTTTATCGAGAGCATATTGTTTGTCCAGAGTAGATGTCAGACATACTAACTAAAGTTTACTGACGAGATGAATCACCTTACCAGCCCTCAGAAATGCGAATGAAACATGAGATATCCATTTTTTCCTCATTAGGTGGTAAAAATTAAAAAAGTTGAGAACATACAGTGCTGGTAGGGAGGGGGAAAACAGGCCCCTCATACATTCTAGCTAAGAATGTAAATTATTACTATCTTTGGGAAGATACTATAGCAATCTATTAAAATAGAAAATACATATTTTTGCCTCAAATCTCATGTTAGGGAATATATTCTTCAGGGATAAAAGTGGAAGAACATGTAAATAAGCCACTAAGGATGCTTATTGTAGACTTTTTAGTGGCAAAACAAAATCTAATTGAGATACTACTGAAATAGGGTATATTTTGGCAGAAGTATAATTTGGTATATTCTTGATTTCAATTTAGGTGAGTGTAAGTGAATGAATGAATTAGTTCTATATGAATTGTTCTAGAGGCCATCGATGTAAAATTAATGAAAAAAGGAAGCTAGGGTCTTGAATGTAATATGATGCAGTTTTTGTGAGAATAAAAATATTCCTACTCTATATGTAGGAATAAATGCATACTGCAGGATAAAAGCTATAGGAGGGTGCCCACTAAGTTTTTGAGCTTTAAGATGTGGGCTAGGAGGAGGGGTGTGTATGTGTGTGCACGTGCATGGGAGTATTGTAATTTTTCTCTTTAATGAATTTAAAAAATAAGACTTATTTAGAGATGCCTGGGTGGCTCAGCCATTTAAGTGTCCAACTCTTGATTTCAGCTCAGGTGCTGATCTCACGGTCCTGAGATGGAGCTCCATGGCAGGCTCCGAGCTGGAGTGGAGTGGAGACTCTGAATGGAGTCTGCCTAAGACTCTCTCTCTCTCCCTCTACCCCTCTCCCACTCTCTTTCTCTCTCTCTCTCTCTCTCTCTCAAAAAAAAGATTTCTATAAATGCTTTTAGAATAAAAGTATTCAATAAGAAAACATGGTTCCTACAAGGTTAAGGCCATTGACCAAAGACTTAACAACTGGTTAATGACCAAGCAGAGGCTAGAGTGCAGGTCGGCTGAGTCTAGATCCCTAATGTTTAATCCCCTGCACAGGTTGCTGTTAAAAATATATACTGGCAAAACTCATTACTGCTTCTATTTGATGTTTTTGCCCCTCCCCCTCTTCTCTATTGAGTAGCCAAGCTAAGAGAATGAGTGTTTTTCATTGTAGCCAGGTCCTCTGATGTTCATTTCTAGGCAGGCACTTTCCTTTTGACTGGGTAAGTTAATTTCCATGACTAGGTTAGCTATTGAATGGCATTCCCCAGAGTTACAAGGATTGAGGAGGTGTCTGAAGAGTTATATATTTCCTCGTTGTCCAGTCAAGATGTTCTCCTTGATCTGACAGTTTTTTTGAAGCCAGCATTTTATTTCATTTCCAGCTTGACATAAAAGAGATTGTGTCCTTGGGGTTATAAGAAATATCATCTCACCTGTGACCTCCCTTTCATACTGCAAGCTCTCCAAAGGCTTCATGGAACCTATACAGTTTAATTTGGGTTTTGCTCAGGCTTCTTTTGTTTAAAGTTAACCTGTGGTCCCCTTTGAAACGGTTCATCATTTAATGCAGGAAGAGATTGTCACCTATCAAATGGAAAACATTGCTCTATCTACTTAATTTTTTTTTTTCTTTTTATTCCTGGGAAATACTTTTTTTTCCCCTGGCCTTCTTGAGCTCTATCAGCAGTTTAGAAATACACAGTCACAAAATGTGAATCTGAGAAATTTTGAGGCATTATGATGGACAGAATATTGTTATAGCTAATGCCTGGAACTTTTGGTCTCAAGGTCCTGAGTTCAAACCCCACATTGGGCATGGAGCGTACTCAAAAAAAATTATTTTGAGCTGAAAGCAATTGAGAAAAAGAAGATACAAGAGAAGCTGTCTACCCTTGGCCTATTTGCCTAGAAACAGGACATAAATTTGTAAAGGTGTCCCTTCTCCTGTCTCTACCAGGAAGGAGAAAAGTTAATCACCAGAGACAACTCTAGATCCTTAACATCCCAGAGACCAAAAGGAACCTACATAACAAACCTTACTAACTAGTCCTTTCTGCCATTAGTTCCCCTGCACCCTTACCTTCCCACGTGTGCCACTTAGAGACGCAAAGCTTTTTCTTGTTACCTCTTTAAAAATGTATTTTTCTTGGGACACCTGGGTGGCTCAGTCGGTTAAGCCTCTGACTCTTGGTTTCGGCTCAGGTTATGATCTCCCAGTTTATGAGTTCCAGCCCCCCCCACTGGGTTCTGTGCTGACAGTATAGAGCCCTCTTGGGATGTTCTGTCTCCCTCTCTGTCTCTCCCCCTTTCTCTCTCTCTCTCAAAGTAAATAAATATTAAAAAATGTATTTTTCTTTGTTTTTGTAAGATGCTATATAAGCTCAAGTTCTAACCACTGTTTAGAGTTACTCACTGAGTACTCCTGTGTGTATACGCAACGCATGTTCACAAACTCTTTATTTTTCTCTTGTTAATCTGTCTTTTCTCAGATTCATTTGTAGGATCTAGCCAGAGAACCTAGGAAGATGGAGGAAAATGTTACATTTTTCCTCCCCTACACTTTTCTTATTTTATATGATCTTTTAGCTCACGTTGACACTTTTCTTAGCTTATATTTATTTTATCTCATTTTTCTCTCATTGCTTTTACTTTTGTTTTTCCCACTTTTTTTTAACTTTTCTTTTTACTGTTTATTCATTTTTGTTTCATTTACATCCCTCATCACACCTACTCCAGTGGGGTTACCAAGACTACCCCCACTCGCCAGTGCCCTGGTTTGGAGGGTTGTGTATTGGGTTCTAGGTGGCCTACTGCAGTGTCTCCTTGGCAGGACAAAGCCAGGTGTGGCCCTCTGGTGTCCACACCACCGCCCCCCCCCACCACCACCACAAGCCCAGGTCCTGCTCTGCTGTCTCTAGGGTCCTTAGAGTAGGGCATGCGGACACAGGGCCTGGAAGCCCCAGCCACTCATAGCAGCCAAGGGTACATGACATACTTGGCCAAAGACTTCCAGAATTCCCTTCCCAGACAGACCTACGGAATGATCACTTCCAAGAGGGAGACCCTCTCCTGGTCAGTCCCACTGTGCCAAAGGCTGGCTACATGCTCCTCTCCGTCTACACCTCATATAACCCTCATGACAAGTGTCATTTTATAGACAAAGAACCCGAAAACCAAAGCGGTTAGTGTCATGCTCGGCATTCCGACCTAGAAGCCCAAAGGTAGCTCTGCCTGCCACGTGCACATAAAACTGCCTCCACAGCAGCTGTAAAGCATGTTCGGCTACAGACCATTCTTAGTGCTCACTGTTCTGAGCGCTGAGTATAGAAATAGCCACTTCCTCTTTGCCTCAGTGTCACAGGCGCAGGAGAGCAGCTGCGTCCGAGGTGCCTGCCGGTCCGGCATCTGCAGGGCGGCCGTTCCTGCCCACCCAGCCCCCAGTGTTTATTCATTTATGAGGGTCAGAGAGAGACAGAGCATGGACAGGGGAGGGGCAGAGAGAGGGGGAGACCCAGAATTTGAAGTGGACTCTAGGCTCTGAGTTGTCAGCACAGAGCTCGACATGGGGCTTGAACCCACAAACTGTGAGATTGTGACCTGAGCCAAAGTCTGATGCTTAACTGACTAAGCCATCCTGGTGCCCCAGTTTCCCCCTCTGTTTTAGTACAAGTTTTTCTTTTTATGATTTTCTGGATAACTATTTTTATACGATTTTTCACCATCCTTTAAATTTATTTACTTCTTTTTTAAATTTTTTATTGTCAAGTTTGAGCTCTCTTGGCTTACTCAGTGGCACGCAGGGAGGGGCAGCCCTCAGGCATCTCGACCCTGAACAATGCTCGAATTCCTCCTGACAGTGTTAACATTTTCTCCATCAACCTCACTTAGACTTTGATCTGAGAATCCAGAAAACATGAATTCCTCCCCAGCCGCAGTAGTGAAGGTTGATATAAATGCATGTCAGATCCTGGAATGGAGTTTCTTTCTCGGATCACGCGTCCCTTGGTCCCTTTATGTGGAATTCACTTAAGTATTTAGAAGAAGGTTTCAGTCACAGGTGGGAACTCAGGTGGCAAGTAAGCACACAAAAGAACGAAGTGGGGGCTGCGGAACTAGCCAGCTCAGGACAGCCAGAGAAGAGCTGGTAACTTGGCCCAGGGCACATTGCAGCAATACCGGACATCAGCCTGGTGGCCCTGTGGCCAGCTCCAGGCCCCACGGGACAGTGTACCTGGGGCTGCTGGCCATCTTCTGCTCAGATACGGGGCGGCCCAGTGCCCGGGCCAGGTTAGCTTGTGGTAAAGGAGCCAGCAGAGGGTGAGACATTCACCTCCTCCCGCTCAGAGAGGAGCACCATTCCTGGAGGTGCTTCTGCTCTGCCCTTTCCTGCCTTGCCCTGGGCAGTGGCTACCAGATACGCGACAGAAGGGGAGGTGCCTGCTTGCCAGTCAGACTTTGTAAATAGCAGGAATGCCCGTCTGTGAGAGGCTGCTTTCTTAACTAAAAGTAGGGAGAAGCATTCTTCCCGGGGAACGTGCTGCTTTTGTTGAAAACGCTTTGAAAGGATTTTTCTGTTCTCCATGATCTTGACTGACATTAATAGGCACCCTCCAACTTGGTCTGTCAACAACGGCTCCGTTCTTGTTTGCCATCGAGAACAGACAGTTTTGCTAGAAGAAGGAATGTTGGCCAAAAGACTAGCTTATTATTCAGCTTTTTTATGCCAAATATTTAAAAAACGTGACGCGATCGAAATTAAATGTAAAACCTTACGGTGTCTCTTGGTGTCCATATTTGCCTGCCTATGGATGGCTAATTCTCAGGCGCTCTGTGTGTGTCCCCACTAATGGTGAACCTTGGTGGGACTTTCTTTGTCTTTGGCTTTAAGAAATTTGAAACATACTGTAAATACCTTGGGCCATGGTGAACTAAACAGAAAGGAACTTGGGAAGCACCACAGGGTTGCTGGCTGCTGGCCACCCCAATCCATTTCTCTCTCAGGGATTCACTTGGGCCTGATTCAAAGCCAGTCGGCTTCCATTCCTTCTGTTGTCACTGCTGTTGGCTTTATAAAACTAGATAGATGTGCCTGATGCAGTGGCTCTTGGTCATTTAGGGAGTAATGCGCTTTTTGAGGGTTTGATGAAAACTAGCCTTTCCCCAGTGAAGCTCACGAAAATGTATGACCATTCCAAATGCTGCCTATGATTTCGGCCTTTTCCCTGACCCTTGAAGCACAGCCTGTGACCTCAGGGTAAAAATCATTAATAAAGGTTGAGGCCATGCATAATGTTAATTTTCTTGGGTATTCTATTAGTCAGGGCTAACCAGAGAGACAGAAGAGGAAAGATCTATTTTAAGACATTTACTACACGGAATTGGCTCATATAATAGTCAGGGCTAGCAAGGCAATTGCTGTAGACTGAATGCTCATCTCCCTTAAGATTCATACGTTGAAACCCTGAAGGTGGTGGTGTTTGGAGGCGGGGCCTTTGGGAGGCGATTAGGTCATGACAGTGATGCCCTTGTGAATGGGAGCAGGGCATCCAGAGAGCGCCCTTGTTTCTCTGCTGTGTGGGGACACAGCAAGAAATGTGGCTGTGAACCAGAAAGCAGGCACTCACAACACACCAAATCTACTGGTGCCTTGATCTCAGACCTCCCAGCTTCCAGAACTGTGAGAAGTAGTACATGTCTTTTATTTAAGCCACCCATTTTGTGGCATTTTTGCTCTGGCAGCCCAAACAGAGAAAGAGGGTAAGTCTAGAACCTGTACCGCGGGCTGTCAGGAAGGGCAGGCTGGGACTCTTGGGCATGAGGTGAAGCTGTCTGAAGGTGGAATTCCTTCTTCCAAGAAAGCCCTAGTCCTCTTCCCAAGGGCGTTCAACTGATTAAACTGAGCCCACCAGATTAGCCAGCCTATAAGCATCTCTCTTCCTTAAAGCCAACTGACTATGGATTTTAGTCATGTGTGTAAATCATCTTCACAGCAGCACCCAGGGCAGTATTTGACTGGATTACCTGGGGCTGGAGTCTACCCCAGCTGAGCCATAAAAGTGCCCACCGCAAGGATGATGGCATTATGGTCCTGTTGAAAACATCTTTTCTCTTAGAAAATACATGTTGAAATATTTAAGGTGAGGTATCCCAATGTCTGTGACTTATGGCCCCTTAGTTTACAAGATAAACATTAAGAAAGAGCAAATATGGCAATAGGTTAATAACTGTACAATGTAGGCAGGAAGTATATGAGGGTTCACTGTATTCTTCTTTCAATTTTTCCACACATTTGAAAGTGTTCATGGTGAGATTTGTGAGCTACAGGAGCCGCACTCTCCCACCTGGCCCAGTGACTAGTGGAGCATCGCATATACTCAGTAACGGTTGCATGAATTACACGGAGCAAAGGGCAGCATTTCACTCACAACCTAGGAAGTCAGCAAGAGAATGTGGCCAGGGTTATAATAATAAGTGACCTTCTTCTGCACATCTTCCATCCTTGTCCACATAATTCCACAAGTAATTAACTAAGAGTTAAGACATTTCTTGAGGTGAGTTAAAGCTTTTTTTTTTTTTTTTTTTTGCATGATATAGCAAAGGGAATGCTAAAAGAGGAGCCAGGAGTTCTCTCTGAGTTATAACTACAAGCTGTGTGGCTTTGGACAAATTGCTTACCTATTCTGAACGTATTTCCTCATCTGAAAATGGGGATAATCTCTGCTTTTTTCAGAATTGTTCTGAGGAAAAAATTCAATAAGGACGCTAAAAATGCCCTGTAATGCCCGACGTGCAGAGTGATCCTACCACTCTATTACATATAGAATCTAGAACCATGTCCCTTAACATGGAACACCTGTGACTCAGGCAGTGTCTTCTAATCTATGGCACGTCACAGTTTGATTGGCAGCACTTTTTTTCTTTCCTATTGGTACTGAAAATAATAGTGGCACCTTAGATTTGATGAAATATTGTGGCTAAGTGGTCTTGGTCAATGACTTAAACCCTTGAAACCCCATCTTTTTCCTCTGTTTTGGGGATAAAAGTATTTTCAATGGTTGTTACGATTAAATAAGATTATGCAAAGCACTTAGTTGGTGTTTAATAAATGGCAGTGAAGGGGCGCCTGGGTGGCTCAGTCACTTGAGTGGCCAACTTCGGCTCAGGTCATGATCTCACAGTTTTGTGAGTTCGAGCCCCACATCGGGCACTGTGCTGACAGCTCAGAGCCTGGAGTCTGCTTCAGATTCTGTGTCTCCCTCTCTCTCTGCCCCTCTGCCACTCTCACACTGTCTTTCTCTCTCTCTCAAAAATAAACATTAAAAAATATTTTAAAAAATAAAATAAAAAGCAGTACAAAATAGTATTATTGTACAAATATGTTATTATTACTTACTATAGAACTTACACAATCTCTGAAGATCCTGCCCATAGATTCTGTCTTTGCCATTCCACTCTTAAAGGAGAAAATAAATACAATCTCATCAAGTTTACTTTGGAAAAAGTGACCCTGAACTAAATCAAGGCGATTGCTTTAAGCGTTGGAGCTGAAGAAATAGATCTGAATGCCGAGTGTCAGGGCAGTGAACTCTTTTTGTACTTTTGGTTCCTACTGTCTGGATGCCGGAGCTATGTTCACAGGCACACTTCTGGGGACTGTCTTAGACTCTCTTCGGCAGGGGCCTGGGGTAGCGCAGTCTCTGTGCACGCAGGTGTGAGAATATTGAGGCCAGCCCTACCTGGGGCGAGCTGTGCCACCGGCTTCGTTCAGTAAACCTCCTGGGGGCTTCTGCGCACTGCTGTAGCCGAGCTCTGAGGCCTCTGGGGTCCAGGAACCCCAGGCTAGTAAACACATTACCTGCAGTCGAGGCTTTTATTTTTGTTGACCTCCAGGGACAGGATTTAATTTGCATGATCCCTCCTGCGGTGGGAAGTGTGTGAACCCTGCCAGGCCGTGTTAAGTGCTCGCAACCAGAAGGCCCAAATCAAATCCTGCCGCAAACACTCCAGCCTTACCTTCTCAGCCAGCGCCCCTGCACACCATGTGGGGGGCAGAGAGACAGAGGAAGAGCCTCTGGCAGGAAAGCAAAGCTTGTAGAGGGTTGTCTCGGGCAGCTGTCAAGAACCATTCACCTGTCGGAGTGGTGTCTTCCTTTCTTTGTGAACATCCAGGAAGATGGCCATGGAACCCTTGGAAAGGAATCTAGGGCAACAGATTTTCTTCTTAATTAGTCCTTCCCTGGCCCTGTCTGCCACTTGACTTTCTACTACCCTCTTCTTCCTATTTCCTCTCTCAGCAGCTACTTGTTTCCGATTCATGCTAGTTTTTAGGTCTTTCTATTTGTTACCCTTCTAGCACTCTCTCTAAGATTGTAAAACTCTTCCTTTTGAAATAATTTGACTTACAAA